GGTTGTGCAGGTGGTAGGCCAACATGGGATTGTACAGGTTGTGCAGGTGGTAGGCCAACATGGGATTGTACAGGTTGTGCAGGTGGTAGGCCAACATGGGATTGTACAGGTTGTGCAGGTGGTAGGCCAACATGGGATTGTACAGGTTTTGCAGGTTGTGGACCGAATGGAGGTTGTACGGCTTGTACATGTGGTCGGCCAACATAGGATTGCACTGGTTGTACCGGCTGTCCTCGTTGTGGACCGAATTGAGCTTGTGCGGGTTGTAAGCCAAATTGTGGGTATCCCGTTTTTACTGGTTGTGCGGGTTGTAAGCCAAATTGTGGGTATCCCGTTTTTACTGGTTGTGCGGGTTGTAAACCGTATTGGGGGCATCGGGGGGCTTTATTATAGGGGTCATCATAATTTGATGGACCATATCGTCCACCATCATTCTGGCGAGTATAATAATTATCATCATAACCACGATCGCCATAATATCGTTTTGAATAGTATCCTTTGGAATTATCAGAATTGTTCTTTATTGTAGTGTGTAATTTTTTTGCATTGTCCCCTAGGTTCATTGGATCATGTGTGTTTCCAGCTTTATTAACGTTTGCACATGTAGCATTCAACGGTTTGGGTGGAGAATCCTGGGCAGGATATTTGCGTGGTAACTTATTTGCTTCATTATCGAATGCAGGTTGTTTATAGTTTGAAGGTTTTCTGTAGCTGTCATCTTGATAATCCCTATAATCTTTACCATCATATTTGTAATACTCATCATATTTATTATATTCATCACGATATTTCTTATTCTTGTGACCACGTTGATCGTGTGCATATCTACGATCGTCACGCTGCTGTGCATATCTACGATGGTCACGGTCCTTGGCACATCTAGCATCATCCCTATACTTATATTCGTCGCGGTCCTTAGCATATCTAGCATCATCCCTATACTTATATTCGTCGCGGTCCTTAGCATATCTAGCATCCTCCAGATATTTATAATTGTCACAATCATCCCCATACTTCCAGTTGTCATAGTCATCCTGATATGTGTACATGTCACGCTCCTGTGGATATCTGTGATCATCACGATCCTCATGGTATCGATGATGGGGACGATATTTATAATTGCCCCTCTCATCATGACGCTGTTTACGGCCGTCATAATATTTGTGGTTATACTTTTCTTTTTCATATTTTTCGTATTCATCGTAATAATCATCTAAATAGCTGTCATTCTTCCTTTTACTATTGTATACATTTGATGCATATTTTGCATCTTTATTTGAGGCGTCTGAATTGTGTTTATGCTTGGCACCTTTTGTGTAGGAAGAAACTTGTGTTGGGAATTTCTCATCAGTCTCAACATTATTGAAATCGTCCATGGGGTCGTCATTGTCTAATGATATTTTTACTGCCTTTCCAACATTACCTTTTTCGTCACTCATTATGTGCAAGACACTGTCCAGTAATGTTGAATAACTATTACACATATCTGTGTTGTCCTCTTCCACTAATAATCTGAAATAGTGTACAAACGATCCATTTTTCCTGCTGATCTTGCTATTCCATAATTCACCCAAAGTATTCTAGCGAAAAGGGGGTTAAATAGAGACACAGGTACAGTACATATATATGTGGCGAATGAAGAATGTTTGTACAATACTACATACGCTACATGGAGGGGCAGGGAAAAAAGGAATGTGCCCCCAACGCACGGCTTTCTATTTTGTTGATGGTTGGACATTTATATATATATGAATGCAGAAGTGACCACATACAACATACGCACAGACATTCTTTTTCCATGTTGTTTTTATCCATTGTTGGTTAAGTGCTATGTCTTACCTCATTTGTGTACGTAAACTCGTTCCATAGTAATAGTAGCAGAAAGCATATAAACCACTGGATTAAAGACGGGCAGTACAAGTTCTTCATTTCATTCCCTATACTCTGAATGTTTACTTTTAAATATCATAATATGCTTTTGGAAGCAAAGCGGGAGAGGTAACAGTGAACCTCCTCAAACTGATAATATTTTGGTCATATGTGTGAAAATAGGAGTACCGTATGAACATGTTACACATAGTTCTTTCTGTTGAGCAGGGATGAAAATACTCCTTTTGATTCTGTTCCAATTCGTCTTCGCCCTCTCGCTTTTTTCTTCCTTTTTTTTTTTTTTTTCAAATGAACTTAATGACACATGTATATATATGTGAGCACATATATACATATATATTTAGTGGACTAAAGATTATCCCTCAAGTGTGAAAAAAGTAATGGATGAAGGAATAATCATAATAATAGTCATAACAATAATAGTGACAGAAAAAAAAAAAAAAAGGAAAATATTACTAGTAACTGCTTCTTACACAAAAATATAGATATATGAAATTAGGAATTGGCCCATGTGGATTTTGTTTTTGTCACATTTTTGTTACATGACTAATGAACAATATATGAAATTCACCATTTTAAACAACAACAACAAAAAAAAAAATTATAAAAAGAAAAGGGGAACGCAAAAGAATTATAAAATAAAAATATATGAGAAGTATAGAAAAAGTTGTGTTTCTTATGCTTCGATATGGGACCAGCTGGGGAAAGATTACATTTTTTTTTTTGGAAGGGTTACGGGGCTTAATAAAAGAATGAAATATATATATGGAATTGTATTCAATATTTTTTTTTTGGAAGAAAAAAAAAAAAAAAAAAAAAAGGAAGACGTTACAATATAAAATTTATGTGTTGCAGGAACACAGAAACAGAAACGTGCAGAAGGCAAAAAAAAAAAAAGAACCAAAAGGAAGGCAAGTGACATAAATGGAAACAAAGGACACGCATTTTGTGCGAAATGAAAAATTCATATATTAAAAATTAAAATAAGAATACAAGCCAATTTGAGAGAAATAACTACATTATTTTATACCCCTGTACCCTGCAAAAATGGGAATGTACGAAAAGTGAATTTTGAGTGTTATGCTGGAAGTGTATATGCCCCCGAAAAACAGGAAATGAAGGGAAAAATTAGAAAAAGCACAGTCGAGTACAATGTTATCATGACCGTTGACTCTGTGTAAACATCCTGTTTTTCAACTTATGCGAATGTTAACGATTTGGAATAGTGTGAAATGCAAAAATAGAAAGTTGTATTATCACGTTTATTAGAAGGTGTAGGCAACCATGTAGGGTGTAGCATATGTGTGTACATAATTACATTTTGGGCTTGAATTATTTTGACAGACGGGAAAGGGTACACATTGTCATTTTGCAGGTGTAGGATCTTATGGTGTAAATGGAAGCAAAACTGAAAACTGTGACACTCTTGCTGTGTGTGTGCGGACAATGTTTGTTCCTACCTAGAGAAAGGATGAAATTATGACACACCATCTATTTTTCAATTGCACCTGAGTTGTTAACGTATGCCACTTTAAAATATGCTAAAGGACTTAGGGAATGGAAACTCCACACTCCATTTATCCATTTTCCTTCCATAGTACAATATGGTCCAGTATTTCCTGTATTGGGAAATTTTCCATGTTCACGTTATTCATTGGCTAGACTCGGTAACTTTGTCTCGACAGAGCAGCCACAAGCTTCCCTTCCCCTTACACACTTTCACTGTGTTCGTCCAGTACATATGAGGTATGAGGGCGGGGCATAGCTCATTATTCCGGCAAATATGCCATGCTTTTTTTTCGTGGAAACCTATCGCATACATTGACTTTTACAATGTATAAGATCCTCCCGGTTTTGTGCATATCAAAGGTATGGTTTAAGCCTTACATGGGCAATGTTGAGGTTTATACACAGGAACAAATAAAATATTCATCCAAAAAAAAAGGAGAAAAAGGAAAAAACAAAGATTCACATGGACATAATCCTAGTATGAACACTTAGTACATAATTACAGCATACTCAGGAACAATAAAATAAATAATAATAACAGAGCAGTTCATAAGATTTAACAACACGAATAAGGGCACCTTCGTTTCATGGACGGAACAGACTCCTCCATATTTTTAGCCGCGGGGGGTCTGTTGCACGTTGAGGTGCTTTTAAAGAGTAAATATGTAGTGTAACATTGCTACTCTCCACAAATAGGCCTGCACAAAGAGGCAGTCGGAAAGGAAACTAGTAATGTGTAATAGGGTACAGTAACATGAAATATGAATGCTGCAAAGATAGACAAATGAAATCGCGGTAATGGATCGGAGAAGAAGGAAGACAAAATTAAAAACATCAGCGCTTTAGAATGCTAATTATTAAACACTTACACACAAAAAAAAAAAATTAAATGAATAAATAAAATGCACTTTTAGTCCCGTGTTAGGGGCGCGGGACAAATTTATGTAGCAGGAGGGGCACAAATATTTTTAACTGTAGGGAACGGAAAACTGCATGGTTCGAGTACTACGCAAAAGGAAGCGGAAATGTATTCTTATCTGTGGGTACATTTTCCTTTACACCTATATGAGGCGTTGCTGGTCAACCTTTTTTATTAGGGACGTCGTATGCGACACTCTGAATTTGTGTTGTCGGCGGCAATATTCTTCATGGCTTTTAATGATTTTATATCTCCGTTCGTAATAGATTCGTCGATATATTCTTCTGGACGTCTCCCTTTGTATAATTTGAATACATAGTAAAATAAAAGGAAACTATATCCACCACAGAGCGCAGCCATGGCAATAAAGGGCAGTGCATAGGATATGGCAAGGGGTACTAGGAGAAAAATTGGTACAGTAAAAGGAGGTAGGAATAAAGCGTACAGTAGGGACGTTAAGCCGAAGAAGTTCATTTTTATAAGGAATGTTAGAAATAAAAAGAAAAATACTCCGAACACACCAAGCAGGGCAAAAGGTCTACGGTCACGCGCAAGGTTAAACCATTTTCCTATCCCCTTTACTTTTCCATCTGAGTAATTACGGTTTTCCTTCGTCTGCATATTCATGTGGCGTCTCATTTCTGATCCAACCGTGGGAAATATTTTTCTAAAAAATTTACCCAACATTGTGTTGTTGAAGACACCTCCACTGGGGCTACCGGAAAATTTATTCTGCTGTTGCAATTTGTCTATATAATAGTGAACTTCATCATCCACATTCACTCCTGCTCTAGTAGAGTATTTTTTATCCTTATTATGATATTCTGATGCTTCAGCCATTCTGTCTTTGTCTTCGAGATCATCATGAGCTCGTTCCCCAAAAAGACTATCCATGCTGCCAACATGCGCAGATGCGCTAACCGCCTGATCAACATCGTCACGATCATCACTTGGCCGTTCAAATATACTATCCATGCTACCAAAATTCGTTGACCTATCAACTGTTCTTTCCCCGTTATCATCATCAAAATTATTCAAGTTTAAAGATTCGTTGGATTTGTCCACGTTACCACGGTGCATCGTACTGTTCGAATGTGTCCTTGAACTGTCGCGGGGACTACTCTTTCTAGAACGTGAATTAGAGCTATCACAATGCTTTGTTACATCGGAACGGTCCTGCAGGCAGGTGTCTCCAGCGCTGTCCACTGAACCCATGAACTTTTCCTCGAACATAGTATTATGCTGTTGTAGTAGCGTTTGTACATTAGTTTCACCCTTTAGTACTCTGCTAGTCCTCATACTTAAGGTGTCATTTTGGCATGTTACGTTGTGCCATGGTAAGCCTAGTGCATTTACTTCACATGTAAGCAGGGGATACATTGAGCAGTTATGCAATACGCATATATTAGTGTAAAATAAAAAAAAATAGAAGGTTTTAATTTTTAACAACATGGAAAGGAGGTGATCATAATAGGGACATATATTTTTAGAATGCCTTGTTTATTATATTACGTTGTGGGTATATGGCAAGGAGCCACAAAAAGAAATAAATATATAAGGGTTCACGGGTGATATCATTTTGTTGTTGTTTTTTTTTTTTTTTTATTTCTATAAGAAACAATTACAAATACCTTTTTTACGTTCATATGAATCTGCAATTTTTGCTCTTTTTTTTTAAAAGAAAAAAATATATTATTTCCTTAAGGTTCATTTGAGGACACAGGAGTATGCACATTTGCCCACATTGTGACGTGCGTTGTTTGCGTGTTGTTGCGCGTTGTTGCGCGTTGTGTTTTTCTTGTTTTTTCTTTCTTTTCTGGCAACGTTATGTAATAATGTAGGCCCCGCACATATGAACCCTTACGGGTGCGCAACGTGTAATTGCCGGAGCCTTTAACCGAAGTGATGGGTGTGAGCGCTAAACGTAAGTACTGCACGTGAATATAATGCGATTAGTTTTTTTTTAAATGTAAGAAGAATCCTAACGCTTAAGTTAAATGCACTTATAATTCAAGAGTGATTTTTCCGAGTGATTTATAGGTACATTGTATATTTTCCCATGAGTGAATATCACTTATATGTTATTAGTACATGAACATGCAATTTACTGGCCGACGGAATTTCTAAGTAAATAATTTCTTTCCGTTGTCTTTCAAATTTTGTGTACAAATTTGCTTAGTGGCAGAAAAAAAAAGGAAAAAGAAAAGTTGCTTCCATTATTTGAATATGGTCTAAGGAGAAAAAAAATGTGACCATGTTTTTTATAGAAGCGTGGTTCATCCGGTACATGAACCATGTAACACAAATTGGTTGGTACATTGAATACAGGAAAGGAAGTGTTTCACTGAAGGCACATATGATCCCTTTTTTTTTTTTTTTTTTTTTGTAATAATAGCACACAGTATCTGATACATGTTGGTACGAAAAATGTGTGGGCACTGAGGATCAAGATGTAGTAAGACGTGTTACATCAATTAGTAACACTGAGGTTTCAGGG